ATCTATCTATCTATCTATCTATCTATCTATCTATCTATCTATCTATCCTTTCGTTGTTTCTCAGAAATGGCAGCAGAGAATTATCTCGTACACAGTTCACTTTGTGCTCACCCAGCTGCCTCTGTGGTCTATTTTCGCTTTGCAACTCTGTGCTGTGAAGAAGCAGGCTTGACTTCTCAATTTACAATCTGTTGCAGATGGATGCTTACCTAAGATTCAATAACAGTAAATTACTGGAGAAATGAATTGAAAAGCAACATGCAAAATACAAGACTAAACGTCTTTGTCTTTTCTCTTTTGTTTATGGCGCTGAGGTTGGAGCGCAGGGCATTGCACGTGAATGCAATAACGCCTGGGCCACACCCCCAGTGTGGCTCACGCTCATTTGATTATTGGAGTCCTGTTCAGAAAAATTACTCAGATCACCACCTGGGATTTGAAACACCGACTTCCAACTGTCTGCATCTGTCTCGCCACGGAGCTGTTGCTGAGACTCGATGCTGGTCCATGGAGCTCACTTGGAGGACCACAAGCCTAGACTCCCGTATTAGGTCAGCAGGTCAAAGAGTGGAAAAGTGAAAAGTGGAGGCACTTTTGCCAAAGTGAAACACATTCCCCTCCGGAGGGGTTGTGACATTTGACACACGCCAGTGGAATAGGACAGGTGATTCTTTTCCGCTCGGCCTTGTCACAAGAGAGAGAGAGAGAGCTGCCTGACTTGGCTCTCTGCTGACTGGAGGAGTGCCTGGGCCAGGCTAAGTTAACCTGCCTTGCCTTGAGGGTGTGAGAAAGAGTGTCATTTGGATTTTAAGCCCTGTTTGGACTTATGTCCGTTACCTATTTTTTTTTTCTCCTGGATTATTGGTCATTTTTTTTTCTTTATTTCTAGGAGTTCTTTGCATACTTAGGGCTATCAGCTCCTTGTTCATTATTAGAACCACATTTTTTTTTAAGTTTGTCATTTGTCTTGAGCGTGTTCATGGGTGTACATGAACATTCATGTTCACCTAGGTGTGAAGAGGCCAGAAGTTGACTTGGTGTCTTTTCTAAGGAGCTGTCCACCTTGTCTTTTCAGACAGAATGTTTGATCTGGCCTAGTATTTTCCAAATAGATTGTGTTGGTTAGCCAGCAAGCTTTAGGTATCTGTCTATCGCTGCCTCCCCACCAAGAGGAATATAAGCTCTCAACTTTTTTTTTTTAATATGGGTCTTGGGGTCCACTTCAGGTCTGCAAGCCCCTCTGCAAAAAGAAGGTCTCACTATGTAGCTCAGGCTGGCCACAAATCTTCAATCCTCCTGGGATTTCATCATAGCTAACTTTTGCCACCTGCCTTTTGATGTTATTTTTAAGTGGCAAGGGGTTTACACTTTCACTCAGTGCCATCAAATTTGTCAGTATTTTCCTTGATGATGTCTGGATTTTGGTTGTAGATTTTCACTCCAAGGTCTGAAGCTTCTGTTCAATTTTTCCTCAAAGCACGGTGTTTTCATGGCTTTACCCTTAACATTCAAATCCTGAATCCAATTTGAATTTTTCCTGGCATGAAAGGCAAGGTCCAAATTGGACTTGAGTCCTGGCTTTTCTTTCTACACATGACTGCTCATCGCTCCAGTGCCATTTATTAAATGGATCCCACCTTTATCATTAAAGCTAATTTTAAAGCATTTGGAATCATAGTAGGAAAGGCTCTATAATTTGTCAATTTTGTCTAGAATACCATTACAAGGGAAATTAGCTTTCAAGATATGATCTATAACTTTGCATTATGAAAGCAGAGTAACATAAATACAATATAAATTTACCTTTAAAAACCCTGTGGGGCCGTTGAGAACCCTGAGGTATCAGAGAGAAGTGGGCCTTGATGGAAAGAGCACTTGGTGAGATCGAGTTTTTCCACTACAGATCTTCCCCCTGGCCTGCCTCCGGGAGCTAAGACCGCAGAGGGGCCCACCATGGTTGTCCCAGGACCCCTGGCTTTGTCGCTGTTGTTGCCCAGCCTGACCCTGTTGGTGACCCACCTGTCCAGCTCCCAGGACGTCTCTAGCGAGTCCAGCAGTGAGCAGCAGCTGTGCACCCAGAGGAAGCACCCCATCGTGGCCTTTGAAGGTGAGAGTGCCCCCCATTGTCCTCACAGGCTTGGGTCAGACCTTGCGAGGGCCTCCCAGGTTGTCTGAAGCCTTTCCTGGAGGTCCTGAGACTCTTCCTGGGGTAGCTCTTTAAGACGAGGCAGCAGCGGGCTGGAGAGCTCTGATTTCTCCAGATAAAATAGATAATTTCACTCAGGCCCTTCACCCACGCCTACCCTAGAGCAGTCATTTATTGGCTTTCACGGGGGGGTTTGGATAAATGAGGAAGCTATGGACACCCCGGTGGGAGCAACTCAGAATTGGTTGGTGGTCTCACCGCTGGAGGTTCTCAAAGCACGGGCTTCTTCTCTTGGCTCCTCTGAGGGCAGGAGGGAGATGACTCACCCCTGAGGAAGAGCCTTCCCTGGATGGCTTCCCCCTTGCTCTAAGCTGAATGCAGAGATGCCTGTTGTTGGAGTCCTGGGAACCCCCAGCAGAAGGGGCCCCGGGTGACTCATCACTCCTGCTTGTCAAGGGAGAGCGTGGGAGTGGCCTCTAAGAGGGTTTCCCAATCTCAGATGTGCACATCACTGGATGTATTCCTGGGTTGGGGGGGTGTCCATAAGCTCTCCACAATTTCTAAAATTAGGACAGCCATTTAATGATAACCAAAAATAAAACAGAAACCCCAGAGAGGCCTGGTTGCTCTCCCATGACCCGTTAACCCTTCGGAATGTCCCTGATCACATCCATACTATGGAAACCAGCTACGTGGCAGCTCACACTGCAATTTGCAGACAAAATGCCAGGGTTTTGTTTGCTTGGTTTTGACTCAGGGTTCCTCTGTATAGCCCTGGCTGTCCTGGAACTCACTCTGTTGACCAGGCTGGCCTCAGGCTTAGAGATCCTCCTGCCTCTGCCTCTTGAAAGCTGGGCTGGTCCTGGTTCTTAATTCTGACCAGCAGTGGCTGGGTCCCTCATCGTCATAACCCTGTGGGGAGGGTGAACAGGAAGACCCAGTCCTAGGGGCTGAAGAGACTCTCAGAGGCAGGCCTCAGGGTCAATCCCCTATTGTCACTACCACTGACGAGCCACCAGACACTCAGCCTTGCAAGAGTGGTCTTGCCATGGGCAGGAAGTAGTATGGAAACCTGAATGGAAAATTGATCACTAAGTTTGAGGCTGGTGTGAGATTTGAGGGGTAGGGTGGGGCTTGTGGATGGGAGGTGGCGGCTGGGGACATTCCAGATGTCCAGGTTCCCAGCTGTGTGCCGGTTCCCTTCTTGGAGAGGAAAACTTCAGCTGTCTTCTTCACGCTGACTTGTTTGAGCTGGGATCCTGGCTTTGAAGGCTTAAGTGGATTATAGTAAATTAGCAATGTCTTCAGCAAGCAAAACGTGTGGTATACACACGCTCAGACTTCTGATGCCTGTGTGTATGTGTGTGTGTGTGTGTGTGTGTGTGTGTGTGTGTGTGTGTGTGCATGCTTGAGTCCATTTGCATGTAGGTTTTCCTGGGGACTGGGGCCAGGGACTCATACATGGTAAGCTCACCATATCACCATATTTTTATGGCCCTGCTTGGTGCCAGAGGCACAAACCAGTTGCTATGGGCCTCAGAGTTCCTCTGGGCACTCAGTTATTTCCTATTATTCCTCAGAGGTCAATACCTCCGTTCCACCAGTTCAGCCGCTCGAGCCCACATCAGCTCTGCTTCCTGGGCCTCCTCTCATCTGTATTTTGGGAAGCACACAGTAGGTCCCCTGGGTGAGGAGCTGTTCTGGGGAAGCTGTCCCAACCCAGCTCAGCATCAACCACTTCCAAGACCCTCAGAGCTTGTGCTGCAGGTCTGAGTGATCCCACCGTGCAGCTGGGAGCTGCCTTCTCTCCCCCAGACACCTGACAGATCTGTGAATAACCCCCAAGCACCGGGCGCTCGGTTGCAGAAGCAGACTGGCAGCGTTTTGTTGCATAAGGTTCAATTTCCTCCTGTGGGTTCCTTTTAAGGAGGCCCACCTGGGTTTCTCTTTGGCCTGTGTATTATTCTGTTTGCCACAGCATGCCCTTTCTAGATGGCAGGGAGAAGCCAGCCTGGAGTTAACACTGGCAGTGGTTAATCCACAAAGTGGGTAATTGAATTGACTATAATTAAAATCACAGGCGCGTCACGGAGAATGTCATTTTTTCTCTTAAAGTCGCCGTCCAAAGCCTCCGCTGCACACGGAGCTCAGAACGTGCCTGGTGTTTTAAAGACAGCTCTCCCTCTGGTCCCCTTTGCCTGGTTAATAAGAGGCTGGCTCTCTTCCCAAGGCCTCCCCGAGATCGCGGCACCGCGCCCAGCCATGTCCCCCTACCCTTGACTGTGTGAGTTCCTTCAGGGCTCAGGGAGAGGGACAGCAACTGAAAGGGGCCTCCACCCACCTCCACCTCCTCACAGTCATCCCAGCCCAGACCCTGTTTCCTCCTCTCCTCTCCCCACTGAGAATGGACCTGAATGAAAACTGAGCTAAGGGCTAAGTTCTCAGACGGGTCTACCGCACACCAGCCATTCCAACCCCTTCCTGTTCTGCTGCCTTCACCTGAAATACCCTGGACCACAGGGAAACTGGGACTTAAAGGGTAACCTGTTTGCTTCTGTTAGGAATCACATGGTCGCAGGAGGCCCACACACCCCAGGCAGAGTGACAGTAAGATACAACCTGACACAAACAGGAAGGGGATGTGGAAACAGTCTAACTAAGGGGATCTTCCTGGAGGAGGTGAACACTCCATTTAATCACTGCCAGGATTGTCTATGGCTCCTGTCAACTGAAAATCAGCCCACTGGACTTCAGACTCAACTCCTTACACCGCCCAGAAGCCATTGAGTCTGTATGACACTTCTTAACAATCCGTGGCTAACTGCTGGGGCCTAAGGACTCTGCTTCATTTTGCAGCAGGATTTCCTCCTTTTATTTATTTATTTATTTTATTGTGCAAATCACAGTTTTCTGAAAAACATCCAACTTGCAAAACCTCCCTTTCTCCTGGGAGTGATTAAGTGTTTGCCTGTCGTGCAGAAATGAAGGACGGCTTTTACTCTGTAGTGGAAGGATAATGAGCAATGATTTATAGCCCTTGGATCACACACACACACACACACACACACACACACACACACACACACACACTCATCTGGCCCTTCTGTGACAGTTGCTCACAGTGGGTAGAAAGCATGGGGCTTCCTCATCAGCATGAAAATCCTCAGCCTACTTGCTCCTTGCTGGTGCCAGCCCTGCCTCCCCAGCAGGGGCAGGCAAGAGTTCAGGTATGGATTAACCTGGGAGATCTGAGTCTCCAGCAGAGGGACTGGGGAAAAGCCAAAGAGCTCCCACCCATCATCAGACTGTGGGGTCTGTTCTCTGCTCACCTGGTCCCCATGAAAAGCTTTGGCTTTGACCAGGAATCGCTTTCTCAAAGACAGAGGTAGACACAGACCACAGAACCTCTGCCCCTCCCACCTCAGTGTGTGTCTTATTAGAAAGCCTGATGGTCCTCCTAGGAGAAGGAGTTGAAGGTTATTCTTTCGTGTACTCAAAGGTGGCTGTACAGGTGAGACCTGGAGGCCCTGACAACAAGCTCTCACCTGGAGCCAGGGCAAACCACCGGGCTGAGCCCACACTGCAGTGGGGTAAGACTGGCAGGCAGAGGAAGGATCCAGAGCCTCTTCAATCCTACTGGGCGAAGCCAAAGATGTCTTGGAAGAGGTGGGGGTGGCAGGACTATACTATTAAAGGGGGTCCTGGGGTACAGAGGTTTGTGGGCCTTATAGAACGGATTGGGGAAGTATGAAACGTTTTAGGTTAGAGTGCCTTCAGTGAATCGTTTAAGCAAATTTCAACTGATGGTTAGACAATCACACAATGAGTGCCAGGTATTTAACTGGGGAGGTCAGGGGGGCCTGAACCCAAAAGCCACGGGAATTAAGACATGTTTGGGGTTGCTGGAAAGGGATCTAAACTGAGGCTGGCGTAGCTACATGTGCATTCTAGAAATATCACTCTAGTTCCCTTGAGGGAAGTGAACCAGAGGGACAGGTATGGGTGGCCGGCCAGTTAGGAAGCTGTCGGCACCAGTCTAGGCAAAGAAGAACAGTGGTTTGCATTGGGGTGAGGTCTGGGGAGAGAGAAGGGAGCGGAGCCTGGAAACTGGAGGGGCAGACATAGGATGTATATAGAGGTGGCTGCTTAGGGTCTCTGGGGGAATCGAGGGTGATTATAGGTTTTCCTTTGTTGAGGGCAAAGTCCTTCCCCCAGAGACAGAAATAGTGACAGTACTCTAGCCACTGAGTTCACAAGGCTGGCTGTTCATGGAGGTGGGCAGGCGGAACCCAGGTGTCCCGGGGGCTTCACCCCTATGCCCCACTGCAGCTGTCACCGACCTTCTCCAGTTTTGCGCTGGCTGGTCGAGCTGGAAGCATGGTCCAACCAGTAACAGAAGGGCCTTTCTCTCTCTCCACCAGATCTGAAGCCATGGGTCTCCAACTTCACCTACCCCGGAGTCCAGGATTTCTCTCAGCTTGCTCTTGATCCTCCCAGGAACCAGCTCATCGTGGGAGCTAGGTAACAGGGTACAGGAGAGTAGGGGGAGGGGATGGGAGCACTTGGAATCGGGTAGAGGGGACACTATTGGGGTGAGTGTACTGTGGGCACATTGATCTCAGAGTCCCTGTCCTCTGTGCCAGGCCCCGTTTGTGTTAATGGCTGTCCGCCATCTGGGGAAGTTAGTGGAGTTGAGGGGAAAGGGGTGACCGTCGGCCACACAGTCTCAGCTAGGGTCATTCTTCAAAAGCTGTTAGGGTAGTGAGAGCAAGGACACCTGCTTCTGTCTTCTACCCTCTCTGCCCTGATGCCACGACTGGCCCAGTTAGAGGTGCCCAGGAGCCCCCTGCTGGCCAGTTGGCTGCATGAGTAGGCCATATGTTTCTATCAAGGGCCTCATTTTCCATAGCCTGCCCACCTTTGTCCCCGTTGTCCAGATCCGGATCCAGAAGCTAAACCTCATCTTTCAGGCTTCCGGGCAGAGTTGGAGGAGCTAGCTATCATGTATCATTCACCGCCAGCTTTGGAAGCAATGAGCTTAGAGATGAGGCTAGGGGGGAGTGAGTCCGTGGGCCAGCATCCCCCACCACTCCCAGGAACTTGCTGAAAGGCAATATTTGAGCTTCCTGGGTAGGAAACTCTAAGAGTAGGCCTAACCTTGCTCCAACAAGTGAGTGGTACCCAAGCTTGAAAGCAGTCCGACTCAACCCCACACAGCAAGCAGACACATGCTTGGGACTTGAACTCAGGCCTCTTGACACCAGGGTGTGCGTTAGGACCAGTGAGCGCGTGAGATTCTGACTCAGCTTGTGTAGTTGGGAAGGACGCTTCCAGGCAACACTGCCATTGGTCCTACCTGCACTTCGGTTCTCCCGCTTTTGTTTGCTGTATGAAGAGGCGGTGAGTCACCCACAGAGCTCTCGTCCTGAGCTGGGTCCTTATTCCGGGTAAACCTGGAGTCTCGGTTTCCTCGTCTATGGCCATCTTCCCAGGGATTAAAAGAATTTAAAATTTTTCTGTATGAAGCAATTATTTTGTAGCAGCCTTGCATGTGGTACAGTGTGACATGCCAGCTACAAAAGAGTATTCAGTGAGAGCAAAGGCCACCCCCTCACACCAGCAGGTCTCTCTAGGGGTTCCTGGTACTCTCCGAGACGCCGGCTATTCAGAGGCTGGGATTTCTTTCCCAGTGAAGCGGATAGTTGTTTTGCTCTCTATTTTGATACAGTTCTCCCACTGATGCACAGCTGTGAGAAATAAGACCCATAAGAGAGGTATGAACCTCTGAACCACAAGAGAGATCTCACACCCCTGCCCCCGGGTCCTGCCCGCGGCACATCGCATATAACCATAGTGCAGAAATCCAATCCAGAAGCTGGTATTCATGCGAGGTTTCTCCTGGCTAAGGTTTTACCAGCTAGCACTTTGAGCTGAGTATATCAACTCACATCTGAAATCCCAGCATTAGCAGGGCCGGGGCAGAAGATCACCTCGAGGTCAAGACAAGCCCAGGCTACATAGTGAGGCCTCGTCTCCAAAAATGAAAAAGCAAAGCAAACAAGTGGCTCAGAGAGTAAAGGAGCTTGCTGCCAAATCTGATGATCTGAGTTCAAGCCTCAGGCGCTACCTGCATGCCATGACGCTCACACATTCAAGTATGCATACATACCCATTCACAACCACATGCACACACAATAAATTAAAATGCAATGAACGCTGAAAAGAAACAAACCAAGCAATATACACACACACACCTTTTATACCCCAGACTAGGGTCCCAGGACTAGGCTCTGAACCTCAAGAAAGCATGACAGCCACACGCATGGTTTTATGTTGGCATCTGTGCAGTAAGTTCTACGACACACATGTACCACACCGCACAATAGGTAAGCCAGCAAATGCAGTGAACCAGGCATGTGGAGAGTGAGCGGGACTTCACTGTCAGCCCCAGGGGCATCTGCTGTGACCACTCCCTTATTGTAGACGGAGAAACAGCCACAGAGAGGTTGCCACCTGCCTTTGGTGGCACTGCCTCACTGCCCCATTGGCTGCACTTTGGGTCCCCCATGCAAAAGGCGGTTGTTTGATTTCTGCAGCTTCTCCTGGACCTTTGAGCCCAGCTTCTGCCTTCAGATGGAGAGGGAAGAGCTTCCCTGGCTTGGCCCCTTCAGCTCCTAGAGTCAGTGTCCCGAATCCTGGGCCATTTCTGATCCCCCACTCTTTTTTTTTTTTTTTCTGAGCATTTTTCTTTCTCCTCTCTATGTTTTTTTCCCCTTTCCCTCTCTCCCCAACACCCTCAGACCTCTGGAATTCAGGCTGGGAAATGTTTTTATCCATTTATAGCCCGCATTATTCCCTATGGGATCGGGAGCTGGGCGGGATGAAGACATTTCCTGCTCTCACGCTCTCTCTCATCTTCCTAAGAGCGGGTGGAGATGCTTATGATGAATGATTTCTGATGGGATAAAAATGAATCGAGTGATGTGATGTTTCCCCTAATTTGTTAAAGCTGTGAGCAGATGCCTAAGTTACCTGAGCACACAGCTGGGGCAGAGCCACAAGCTGGTGCCCATCTGTCCCCGAGCTAGGAGTATGGAGGCCAGGAAGCTCTGCCAAGGACCCGGAGAGAGGCTTAGAGCCAAGGTCATGGGCAAGGCCACCCCGCCTTAGGCCAGCAGAGAAGCTGCGCTCAGCTTCTCCTGGGCCAGCGGCCAAATCATGGAGAAGAATCTCCCAGCCTGAAGTGTCCCATTCCCACCCCTGGCTTCCTTCAGCAGGGCCCCTCCTTCCCTTTCTGGCCCAGTCTCTTGTCATTCCTTCTCAGCACAGCTGAGGTGGCCAGAACTTCCTAGATTAATTATTCCTAAAAAGTCCAGGAACCCAAAGAGGGATGGCCAAAGGCAGATAGAAGAAGAAAAGAGGATTCTTTAGAAAAGCCAAGCTACATCTGTTTGCCATTAATAAAGCCTTTTACCATGTCTCCATGGGACCATGAAGAAGCCAGGCATGAACTAGTTCTCCATTTCACAGACATAGACGCTGAGGCCTACCAGGACACGGCAAACGGTGGAGCCGGGGATCCTACATCCCTCAGCTACAGGGTCTCTACTCAAAATCTGTCCTGCCACACCCTGCCTCAGTGGGTCTACCAGGCTCCTGACCCCCAACTTCTAAGTCTTGGCCCCCTGACTGCAGAGATCAAGCACAGTAGGAACAGTGGTGATGCTAAATTATCGATGAGTGTCTGATGGCGTTATCATCATCATCATCATCATCATCATCATCATCATCATCATCATAATTAAGGCTTGTAAGCCACCAACTGTTATATGAAAGTGGTGTAGAGGCTGGCAGCGCTGTGCTGGCTGGTCTGGGGAGACAGCGGTCCAGGGAGAGGCCAAGGGCAAATGCAGAATCACTGGCTAAAGAGAGATAAAGCTGAACACAACCCCAGGGTCTATATGGGAGGCCCATCTTCATCCCCGTAGAAGGCCTTGCGTCTTCAGTTGAACAGCTCCATGGTTAGGAAAGGCAAGGTCACGAACTAAACAAAGCCACTTGGTCTGCAGATGTTAACTGAATTTATCTTGACTCTAGAATCTGGTGGACTTGGCCAAAGTAGCCGGCTTTATAGACAGAGAGGGGAAAGGCAAAAATAGTGGAAACAACACAAAGTAGGCCAGTCGTTTCAAAATTACCGTCCCTGTAAATTGGACACAGGGAGACAGAAAAATTGAAGAATAACCATAGTCATGTCACGTGACTTTCATTGTGTGAGACTCAAAGCAGAGAGCCCTTCACTGTCATGGCAGCTGAAGCTAGCCTGGCTGGAAAGGTAGCCATTTTCTTTTTCTAATTCCTCTGAAGGTCAGTTCTGCTTTAATGATGAACATTTGACATGAGCATCAGTGACTCCATTTTGATTTTTCAGTCTGGTCCTTTTGAGCCTATTATGAGAACTTAGCCCAAAACAGTGGCATCCCATTAGCTTGGTGTGACAGTGGATTCAGGTCGTTCCTTCTTGCTGGGTCAGCCAGGAGCAGATACGGTATGACGTTTGCCGGTTAACCCCAAGTCTTTGACCCACCAGCTCTGTGACTTGGGCCATTGGGTTACCTGCCTCCTGTAAAATAGAATCTCTAATAGCTACTGCCAGGCTGGGTGAAGGTTCAATGAACTGACAGAGGTGACGCTCTCTCTTGGCTCACCCTAAGTTCTGCAGAAAACATGTTCCTGGCACCCCATGAGGCCTGGACTTGTTGTCTTCCAAGGCCCTACCTGCTGAGTCAGACTGACTTATGATTTCTGTTCTGTTTTCACAGGAACTACCTCTTCAGACTCAGCCTCGCCAACGTCTCCCTCCTTCAGGTACCCTTGCTTCTCTTCCCTTCTTGTGCTGTCCTGTATTTGGAAGCTGGGAACTAGGCAGTGCAAGTAGCAGGACAGCTAACCATGCCCTAGGATCAACTGCAGGGGCCCCCTTGTTCTTCTCCCTGTCATGCTATTACAACCCTGCCATCGGCTGGGAAGACATGTGGAAGTGGGGTGCAGACCACTCCCGCATGGAGGTGCACACAGATCTCTTGCATTGTGTTTCGAAGCTGACAAGGAAAGAGAGAGGGGGCAGCAGGCTAGAATGTCGAGACCCCTGTTGGCTGGGACTGGGGGCTTGGCTAAGATGCAGAACTCTCAGGGCTAAAAATGGGACGCTGCAGGGCAAATAGGGCCAGAGAGCCGTTCCAAGCACAAAGCCAAATTCTACAGGAGAATCCCAGCATTTGGGCCTCCAGGGAAATGGTGTCTCTGGCTCTTTTCTCTGCTTGGCCTGAGAGGTCCTGGTCCATCTCAGCGTTTTCGTTGAGCTGTGATTGATTTATTATCTGCTGCCAAGAAAGGCTCCCCAAGCATAATTCCCTAAGTGCTCCAAGAGGCTTTTCAATGGGACTCCTTGATCCAGAACAGTTATCCCAGATTGAGAAACAGATGCCAAACCATCCCTGCTGAGGCTGAACGTTACAGAGAAAGGGCAGCCATTCTTCTTCAGTGGGGGGGGGAGGGCGCTGAGTGTCCATTCCCCTGTCCAGGAGCTGTCTTAACCATCCAGCATTCGTTGGGCACTTAGTGAATACCAGTGTTGATTGGGGAGGTTGGGGGTATTAGGAAAGCAGAGTCTCTGACTCCAGGGTAAGATGATGATGGATGCAAACAATCTAGTTAGAACTTGGGCGTTAATCAAGCGCTGGGCTGTTTAGCATGGGATTTTGCAGCAGCAAGCAGTTAGGAGAGCGGAGACCTCCTCCATGAGCTAGTCTGACCTTCTGGTCTCCTTACATCCAACCCGGTCCACACCCTCAGTGACTGTTTTACCCCTTGGCTGGACACAGAGGAAACATCTAAGTGCATAAAGGGTATGCCTTGGAAAGGAGGAATCAGAGGAACTAGGGGATGCTGAAAGGAAATGCCATGAGTTCATTAATGCATACCTTTCCTAAGCCAGCTTGCTCATCCAACACTGATAAACATATAGTGAATTTCCTCTGCAAGCCAGGCCTAGGCTTATGTACACTATAGGCTGAAAGTGAAACATCTCCCATGGGCTCAAGGGTCTTAATACTTGATCTTAATTGGTGATGCTGTTTGGGAGGGGGGTGGTTTGAGGAAACTGTAAGACAGTGGTTCTCAACTGTCTTAATGCTGCAACCCTTTAATACAGTCCCTCATGTTGTGATGACCCCAAACCATAAAATTATCTTTGTTGCTCCTTCATAACTGTAATTTTGCTATTGTTATGAACCATAATATAAGTGTCTGATATACAGGCTATCTGCTATGCAGCCCCTGTGAAAGGGTTATTTGATCCCAATGGAGTCGGGACCCACAGATTGAGAACCAATGTTTTAGCCCATGGTGCCTACCTGGTCACTTGGGCCTTGAAAGATAAAGCCCGAGCCTTGATTCTGGTCCCATCTCTGTTTCCTGATCCATCAAGATGTGAGGAGCCTCAGACATAGCCCCAGCCTTCACAGTACTCTTCTTGCCTTCCCCACCGTAAGGGATTGTACACCGTCTGGCAATGGGTCGGGAGCCACATGAATTCTTCTTCCCTTAAGTTGCTTCTGCCAGGGATGTGACCACAGTGAGGAGAAGAGTCCCTGCAGCATGGTGCTTGGATTCTGTGTTCTAAAGGGGAAGCCCATTTCTTTGCCTTGAGGAATGCACACATGAGAGATGGCATAGGTGAGAGATGGTGTAGGATTCCTTTTCCTGTAGGGGTGCCACGTGGCACGTCCTTGCAGCCCAGGCTTAGGCAAGGCATGCAGAATTCTCGGAGTCAGCAACCCATGCTCTCAAGCAGCCAGCCCAGAGACTAACTTCTAATTGGCATCCATAGGAGACCAAGCCAAAGTGCTAAACCAGACAGGTCAGGACATGGGGGAGCCAGCCTAGAGATTCAAAACAAGTGCGAGGCAGTTGAACCAGGGGGGCCTGCCCTGAGCACCAGGCGGTTGCTTTTGATTTGCTCTCTCACGGTCTCTGCGAATGGAGGTCAGCTGGCACCGGTGAGTGACTAAAGGCAGGAAGAGTGAGAGGCAAAGAAATAATGGCAGAGCTGTGAGAAGTGAGCATGGGAGGGGTGTCCCAGAGGCAAGCGGAACCCCCCGGGCCCAGCAAAGTCTGCAAGGCCATTGAGAGGCGTTGCTCAAAGGCTGTTTGCTGAGAAGCAAAGGGAGAGAACAGAGGAATGAGATAACACGAAGCACTGGGGCAGGGGGCCAGGAGCAAAGGGCAGGAGATAAGGGGTGAGGCCCTTGGAGAGAGAGGGGTCTTCGCTGCTGCCGAGCTGGGGGTGGGGTATCCACATATTATTTGGAAGGCAATAGAGATCCATTAATGAATTTTAAGCAGTGAAGTGACACAAATAGACTTGTCATTTACGTCACCTGGCCCAGCGCAGGGCAGGGACTGGAGTCATGGAGGGTTCAGTCAGGGGACAGGTGTGATTATCCAGCTGAGTGATGATGATGGAGAGGCTTGAGGCGGGCAATGGAAGAGGGATGGAGGACAGGAAGGGAATCTTAAGGTGGCGGGGTCACACAGGGCCATAGTTTCACCTGAGAACCATCAGGCATGCTGACTTCTATATAAAGGTGACCCGTAGAGGAATCAGTCATGCTTGGACCACAGAGGTGTGACATCTAGGTTTCTGGCTTCACAGCTGGCTACCAGAAATTAGGATAGAAATGAGGCTCCCTTGGCTGTGTCCTGGACCTGCTAGGGGAGCTTTGACAGAAGCTGGTGACTCAGAAATTTCTGTTTGATTGTTCTGGGGTAGTCTGGACACTGGGGTTTTCAAAAGCTCCCAAGCGATTGCAATGGGCAGCTAAATTTAGGGACCACTGCTAAAGGATGTCAAGAAAGACTTATGTGGGGTGTTACCCTGCTGGCTCTGCCTCCCCGGCCTCCTCACTAGCTGGTCAGCAGGACATAAGCCATGCACCTTTTTGGATGTTCAAACTACCTAAGGACTAGGGCCTGGGATTTGGTTCTTCCAGTTCAGTGTTGATGTTGTCTTAGGACAGACAGAGACCTGTGGCACCCCAGAGCTCACGCTTGGAGTGGGAGGTGGTCAGCTTCAGTTGGGGTTCTCTAAAGTACCCTCAAACCAACTCCAAGAGCACCCAGAACCCACCTTCACCATCATGTCTCCATGGGGTTTAACCTTGAAATTCAGGAACCAAGGAGGAAGGTTAATACATTTGATGCTATTGTTAACTATTTTAGACACTGTCTAGGCACAGTGAGAGGTTGGGGCAGCCCATCCAGTTCTCAGTGAAGCTGGTGGGGGACTTGGGCTTCTGGTCAGCTGCCTGGCCTGAGTAGAAAACCTTGGCTTTGGTTTTTAAGTACTTACTCTGTCCTGCGACCTGGCACATCTTTTTTGGGGAACCTCAGTCCCTGGCCCGGGTATTGACTATGACAAGCTTTTCAGCAGCACCCAAAGGCTGAAAACGAGGTATACAATTGCACCGACAGGGGAGGAGACACAAGGCTGTCCGCTGGGCCCCAGAGTGTGATTTAAGTCAGTTTAAACCTCGGTGTTTTATTGATACTTTAAATAATTGACGTGTGCTTAAGAAGAAATCTAAATGCAAACAGTTTACGAAAACCGGTGTCCATTAAAGGGACTTCTAAGACTCTAAGCCCTATTAAGCAGTTAATGTAAACGACTGTTCCTTAAGGAGAGTTGAAATCTCCACCTCCTTCCCAATCCTCAAATGCTATAGCAGGTGTGGTGTGTGTGTGTGTGTGTGTGTGTGTGTGTGTGTGTAAGGGTAGTGGGGGCAGGGGCTAAGGAGAGGGGCAAGGGAGGGAAATCAAGTCAGTTCAGCTGCTATGATCACTATCAGCATAACTGGACTAATAGTTACGGAATCTTCACAAAGGAGGTCTGTGATCTGCTGTGCTGGGGGCTGGGAGGCCAGCATGAAGCTAGTTTGAATTCAGCAAGCAGGCACTCCTGGATGACCTTCCTCAGTGCAGTTCCGGGGCCTAATTTGCTACAGTGCTATGATCTTGGGGTGCCAGAAGGCTTGTATGCACAGAAATAAATAATGTTGGCATATATACACACCAAAACACATAGTGGGACTTTTGGGAGACCTGGACAGACACTGTCCCAGCCTACTTCACATCCTCCACGCTGGAGTCCCTAGATTTGTTGGTAGTTTAGACACTGTCAGTGGTAAACTCAGCGTTCAGGTGGTACTGTGCTAAGTGCTCATCTGTAACAGCCTCTGATGTGTCTAGGGGAGCGGCCAAGTGCACACAGGGATGGTTCCATTCACGTCCTGGTGGTCTGCCTGCTCTTCCTCCTACCACAGAAACCACGCAGCCGGCCATTACCTGAGATCACCACCCTGGAATTTCTGGGGGCCGTCCAAGCATAAAGCATTCATCATGATGCTGGCATCACAGTGCATGCCTATCTCCACCTCTTTACAGAGCCCTACCAAAGGCACGTAGGAAGTTGAAATAGGTACACATCCACAACAGAGAGAATGAGAGGGACCATGTCCGTGGAGAAGAAATCCAATCTTTCTGGGTGATGGAAGTAGATAGAAGGATGATCCTGACTTAGGAGGCATTAATAACTTGCAGAGCAGGGTGTGGCAGGGAAGCAAGCCGAGTCTCCAGGAAAATCTCAGGCTTGAGGTGCTGGGCATTGTAGAATAAAGACAACTAAGATAAGACACTGATTAAAATTCTCTAAATGGAGAGACTGGAACTCGGGTCTTCTCATCTATCTCCATCACCCAATAAGAGAAGCTGTGACCTCTTTGAGTCCAAATGGAGAGTTCATGTTTAGT